ACACACACACACACACACATATATATATATATATANANACACACACACACACACACACACACACACACACATATATATATATATATATATATGATATTAAATGGGGCTTCTCCCGCCTGAGAGGTGTGTTCATGTGCGTAGAACGATACGCTAAAACATAGTGCACGTGCAACACGGCTATATACTTTCCATCACGTAGTGTTCGCAGCTAATCAGTGGGACGTCTAGACTGTTATCCTAAAAGAAATCAAACTGGACACACAATCAGATACACATCTTACATTGGACGCACAAATGTTGTCTCAAAGGTTAAACCCCTATGGCTCCAAATCGTCAAACCGTCTAACTCTATCTCTTGTACTTAAACTTATACACTTCTGCATTCCCAGTGCGACTTCAGACAACCGTCACTACGAGGACAGGCGGGCATGCAAAGGCACAAAGGTGCAGATGACCCATGCCAACTTATGGCTCAACCAAATCGCTGATATGCGGAGGCGAGGAGAGGTGTAGGAACACTGGGATGAAGTACAGGCCAGTCTCATCTTACTGTACGCCAAACTCATGCGACTTAATGGTACATCTGGGTGGAGTTTCCACTTGGGGGATGGTGCAATTAGAATATCTTCATCTACACCTAAAGCATGCTTAGCAATGGCACATCTGGGTGGAGTTTTCACTTGGGGGGTGGCGTGGACTGCGGAAAGTATACGCCAGCGTCACAAAAACCTAGGAGCCCACTGGTGTGACAACATCGCACCAATACGCGGAAAAGGGCGGTAGTACACATGCAAGCAAAGCAGGGAGTGTACCTACATTCATTTAGTTCAGCATCTACCATTCATGCAATATGCTGAGATGGACGCTCGCATGGACAAGCACGCAGTGGTAAGTGTATACCTCACTTGATAGCTACAAAGGTGCCTATTTCCCTTGTGAGTATGCTTTTGAGTCAGACAGGGGTTGTACAGGCGAGGGAAGGCGATTACCAGCAAGCCGCTACAGTGTGTCTAGGTGGGCCCTTTCAGGAGCTCGAAAGTCGGAAGTACGGATAGGTCATGCCAACAGTTTGCACAAATGTATGAACAGACAGATACGGCTTAATCAAGCAAGCACCAAGTAGTCTCATATGTTGTGCTCTACTGTCTGGTATGTATTGTTTTCTTTAAAACTCAAAATGGCCCCTTTTTTGACGTCGAGGGAATTGGAAATACGATGTGCAGCTAGCTCTACGATAGTGGACTAGCACAGCCGGTGCTGCTGAAATCGTCATGTGGAATGATGTGATTGTGAAGTAAGCAACAGCAGCCGGAGAACAATAACAATTCAGTCTGGACTTTATTGGAGACTCTAAGATATTCTATATGCCAAAGAGGTATTTCCTGGAGTATGTGTTGGCGTTACAAACCTGATATATCAAATCTCATGGAAAGCTGCAGACGAAAACGGCATGTCATCTATAAATGCTCGGCTGTGTAAACCCAACCCGTCACGCACATTGCATGGATAGAGATGTCCTATCTCGACCTTCAATGTGATCAAACACGTGTAAGTCCTGTTTGCTGGCATGCTCAATTCCGAAGTCTGTCATATAAGGTGAACGTGTATTCATGCATACTGCGTATGAGCATGAATACTTTCAATCTACACTGACAACAGATATTACTGTCTATGAGTACATCTTAATGGTAAATCTCAGTGGTTCCATGTATGCACAGCTAATACGATTACCCTGTAACAGTGAGTGTGGGCGCGTGGGCTGTGTTCATCTTTTCCGAACGCTAGGTTCAATATGAAGGGTTCTACCAAGGATACCATACCGCAATCGATCCTTAGCAATACCGTGTGTGCACACTTGCATGACAAGTTCAATTCCAAGCGTTCGCACCAGTCACATGCCCCTCCGAAAACTGCATTTGGCTTAACCCTTGTCCTAATTCATAGTGTTCACTGATGCATAGGGAATCGAGTTCCATCAATACGTATGCAAAATTCACGCATAATTAAGTGCCAGTACGCACTCATCTCGAGTGGTGTACATTTTCGCCCGCATGACTCGGTCGGTATACTTCCATGTCGTCATACGGTTGTTGGCCTATCACCAGAATCACCGCTTGAACAATGCTGGCAAGGTAATTGTATGCTGGTATGTATGCTGGTATGATAACTGTATGCTGCTATGATATGAATGCTGGTCAATATGATGCCTGGCGTACTTGAAACACCAACACCAACATCTACATACTGCCAGCAATTCTAACACTATTAGTCCTGAATTACAGATACTCGTTGCATGACTTATACCGTATTTTTGCTGACGAGAGTAGGCAGACCTATTGGAGCGACAAGTAGTCGTATAATTATTATGCCACAAATGTCGGCACCTTACAAACAAGCACCCCCAAGCGTCATTCATGCATATACATCGGGTAGCTCGCCTTCACGCTGTCAAGAATATCGAGGATATCGTCCTTGGTCACCACAGCCCCCTCCTTCATGGTTTTGATTTTCTTATTCAACCCACTCTTCATATTGTCGGCGAAAGCTCGGAACTTCTCGGCCATTATCAGCTGCTGCTGGATTGGTAGCGCTGCGAATGCGGCGTTGGCTTCTTCATGTTCGTTGCCACCGTCCTCCCTACAAACACAGTGTAGGTTGAATAGATATCCATGTATTATTTAATACGCACACACATGCACACACACACACACACACACACA